TTGCAAATAAGTCGTATTCGATGATATTAGTAACGGTAGAATTTAATTGTAAGTTTGAATAAACAATAGTTGTGTGAGTTGCTCGATAAAAAGGTATATGGTCAAATTTGAATTAATTTCTCAGATAATCACTCAATAAATATTAGTTATTATTTCAAAAATCATTTACTTTATTTGAAAAAATTAAAATTAAAAAAAATATGACTTTTTAATATAAAATTTATTAATTGAGTGATCATTCAAAAAATTAATCCGATCAAATCCGTTGCTCTACCTGTTATCGAGTATGCATCGTATAAAGAATTAGCAATGGACCATATGGCCAATCTTTTAGGGCTAATTAGTAGATTTGAAATTCTTAATCAGCCTTTACGTATTCTCGTTTTAATTGATTATTGCTACTACAGTAGTTAGGTGGAGAAAGCACACTGTTTACGGCAATTTAATGGTCAAATCACATAATGTCATAGATCGGCTCAACACTCATATTTTCTTTTGTGGACGCGTTTGCTTAAGTTGTTTCGATTTATTATCTCTTTTTATTGCGATAGTTACTTGCACATAGCTTTGACTAATTTATGGATATTTTGACTAATTTGTTGGAGTTGTTTCAAAAATATCAATAGATGCATATTGTATTTTTAGAGAAATCGATATGACTGTGACATCAAAATAAAAACTTTGCGCAACTTAGCATGTTAGTACAATTAGCATGCATAACGTTGAAGGGTATAATTATTTCGTGATCATCTTGTCTAAAAGCTTAAGACGTTAAATAAAATATATTTTTATTATTTAATTATATTCTCAACATGCCGACCCCTCACGTGTAGACTTAATTATTTTTTTCATGAATCAAACACGAGAAAATTCTTCTTCTTTTTTTAATAATGACTGAGACTTGGGCAGTGAGATTCAATCTCAAAACGTCTATCCACTCTAATACCATTTTGAAATGTGTGATCATATCATTTTAAAAACTCAAGCAATTTTAAGAAAAAATATTTTTATTATTTAATTACATTCTGAACATGTAAATAATTTTTCCATCAATTGTACAATGCAACACCTAATCCAACATATCGTGCAAGATATGTTTGTCAGAGAAATTCGGTGAGGCTCTTTTTGATTTGTTTGGTGCCATAATCATGAAAATTAGAAAACAAAAAATCAAAAGATAAGGAAAAAAATTAAATTGAAGAAAAATAATTATTATATTTGCACCAAACAAATTTAAAAAACAAAATCCATAAACCAATATTAGATACTACGAACCTAAATGCCCATACACACGAGGAAATAAAAGAGGGGCCCCTTGTGGGTTGGCATAAGATCAAAGAGCAAGACTAAGTTGACCACAAGAAACTTCACATCTTCTACCTCCCTATAACTTTTGTGACCTATATAGATTTAGGGTGTATTTGGTGGAAAATATTTTTCAGAAAATAAATAATTTTTTACTTATTATTTTTGATGAATAAATAAAAAATATTTGTATATAATTAGAGCTGTCAATGTAGGCTAGCCCATCCCATCCGAGCTAACCTATATATGCTTTGAAATTTGACGGGTCAGGTCGGGTTAGCCCATTTTTGGTGTGGGCTAGAAAATGGTCGGCCCAGCCCACAAGTACGTGTGCTGCGGGCTTTGTCGGCCAGCCCTCTTTTCTTAAAAGTATATTTTTATAACTTTTTAAATTAAATTATAATTTAAAAACATTATCATAAATATTGACAAGACAATATTACATGGTGTTAGTGTTACTACTTGTTAATCAAATCCACAAATAAATTTATCTTTATAATATTTATTAAGTTTGATTTCAAGTAAAAACATAAATAGCTAAATAGAAATATTAACCTAATTGTTTTCCAATAATCATAATAAAACACAAAAAGTATGACAATATTCCATAGGCTACGGCCTATGTAGTGATTCCCTAAAAATTTTAGGGAATTTTAATTTTATGTAGTACATATTTTATAAACATAATTTGTATTTAAATTGTCATATTTCAAACTTTAAACAGATTTTGAGTTTAGACTTTTATTATTTTTAATACTCTATTTTATTTTTATTTTTTAATTAATTTTACTTGGCCCACGGGCTGGCCCTATCCATATTTCTCAAGCCCCACAAATCGACAGACTTATTCAGGTCGGGCTAAAAAGCTCTTTTGTTAAATGGGCTCCAAAAACCATAGTCCAACCCTATCAAATCACGGGTTAGGCCAGGCCGGTCCAACGAGTCTAGTCCATATTGACGGCTCTATATATAATGTAATCAAATTAAACACCATGGGTGTAGGAGTGTGGGGGTTGGAGTGGAGATGGTGTGTGCTGAGGATGGGAATGCGACAATTAATATTAAATGTTATAGATGAAACTTGTTTTTTTTTAAAAAAAAACTTTTTCTATTTTAAGAAGTTTAGTTTTTTTAGAGAAAGTGTTCTTCAAAAAATTTTACCAATCAACATGATATTTTCCTCCGTATCAAGTACATTATATGTAGTGCAACAATTATCCAGAAAATTGTGTACTATTTTCTTCGTTTTTTAAATAAGTGATGTTTTTAGTTTGAGCATACCTTTTTAAGAAATTGATCATTCCTAACAAATAAAGAGTGTTTTTATTAACTTGTCAGTAATTAAATGTCTTGAAGAAAGAAATGATTACTCGCTCCGTCCATTTTTACTTGTCAGTTATACTAAAAATAGATGTTCAACAATAATTATTCAGGAAAACAAAGAGATAATTTACCCTTTTGTTAAATACTATTCAATATCTAAAACACATTTAGTTCATTTTTAGAAATACTTATTTCTCTTAATATATTCACTTATTATTAATATTTAAATAATAAAAATAAAAGAGTATTATATGATAACTTGAACTCTAAATTAATTATAGGAGTTTGTTTAGGATTCTTATTTGGTTGCCAAAGATAAGAAGGATTTTTTCACCAATTTCTTGTCCTTATTACTTTCATCTCCATATTTTCTCTTTTTAGCTCATTCAATCAACAATACAAAAATTAATTGAAAACAAAATTTGATCCATATACCCATCATATGTACTCCAATTTATTAAAGTAATACTCAAAGTCAATAGATAAAAAATATTTGAACATCATTTCAATATATAAATCTTAAATAAGCTGAAAATCATTAATCTTTAAATGTGAAAATATAATAATTAAATTTTTTTTAAAAAGATTATTTTGAGGAACTTAAAAGTACTATTACTTTTTTAAAAACTTGTTTTTCCTAAGAATTTTTTTTCCAAAATTTTGACCAATAAAAAAAATAGAAATAAATTTTGACCAACCGACGGTATTTTATTTTGCTTTCACTATCACTTTCTATTAAAGGTCTCAGTTTGTCTGTGTTCTTTAATCCACCATTCAAAAATAATTAGTCATTTTCTATATGTAAAACATGCTTATTTGCCATTTGACATAAGTTGTTGTAGGTAGGGTACAAAACAAATAATTTGGTACAAAGTAGATTGTAGTATTTTATTCATGTTCCTTTTTAGCTTATGTTCACCTTATATATAAATAAATTTGTAAAGTCTAATAAACATTTTAAATTTCATATTTTGACGAAACCACCGTGTTATGGGATAACATTAGGATTTAGGAGTTATTTAAATAAATTTGTAAAGTCTAATAAACATTTTAAATTTCATATTTTAACGAAACCACCGTGTTATGGGATAACATTAGGATTTAGGAGTGCAACTCTTGCTTTTCTATGTTCCACTTCATGAATATGATATAAAACTTGACACATTTAATTAAACTATTCATGTTCGTACTAAGTTGAATTTTACAAGCAATGATTAGTAGGATCACTTCCTCAGTCTCAATTCATAAGACATAGATCAGATATCGATAGTCAAACAAGAAATTGTTTTACTACAATTTATTCTTAGTTTTTTTTTGAATATTTTATTTTAAAATTATTGGACTTATATTATTTTGTAGGCAGTTTCTAAATATGTAATTATTTTTCAAAAACCTTAAAAATTGTATATATAAATTCACAATCAAAATAAATAACTTTTCACTGGGCATCTTGTTATTATTTAATCAAAATGAAAAGTTTGACTCTCCAAATTTGAACTGTGTCATATACAATGGTGTAGCCTAGATTTTCACTAAGAGAGTCCAAAATCTGAAGAAGTAAACAAATGAACTAGGCGACTCCACATCTATTATATATATATACATGAAAAAAAAATTAATCATATAATTTTTCATTGAAAAAAATTCGAATGAACTCATTATCCCCCAGCTCGCTACGCACCTAGTCAAATAAATTGGTTCATGGGGAGTATTTTATGAGTACAATTTCTTCTCTTTTACAATGCTATCTTTATGTTTATAGAAATGTTTTATTTGTCTGTGGGTGGTGAACTTTTTGGTTGAGTCCATGCTCTTTCCCTTTTAATATTTTTATAAGTTTTTTATTTGTGTGTGGGGTTCTATTCTTCTTTCCCAGTAGCTTCAGCGCTTAAAATACTTATACTCACCCACCGTCACTTTCCCTTTTTATATCCCACACGCACGGTCACTGGATAGCAATATTGACAATAACATTTTTTTAAAACACAAGCTTAAAAACTTTATCATTCACTACTCGAGTTTCCATCATACACAATCCGATTTTCATTGTCGGTGGGCTGATTAATTTGAATTCACATATCGTAGGCAGGGAAAACTCTCCCTTCTCAGGCTTGAAGTCAGAGACTTCTGATTAAGGATCGAGAGAATAATTCAAACCACAATCATCCCACCAAGCCTTTGAGTTTTGTTTCCGTTTATTAATTATTCGATTTTCGTAGTTTGGCCTGATTAATTTGGATCGTGGTGGTTGCTCTCTACTAAGAAATTCTCCATTCTCAGGCTTGAAGTCAGAGATTTCTAGTTAAGGATCGAGAGATTCCAACGTCCATTTTACATAGCACAAACACGTTGAATTTGTGCTCTGCCTTGTTTTTTTGTGTCCATTATGGCTTTGCTTAGGTGCTTTGGGTACAACGTAAGGCGCGCTGGAGTTTCTCATATCCGTGTTTTCGCAGAAGGCGATAAAGAAGATGAATCAGATAACACAATGATTGCTGGTGCAACGAGATATACAAGCGAAGAGTTGAAGAAATTCACCGCGAATTTCTCCAATTCCAATTTAATTGCCTGTGGTGGATTTAGCAGAGTCTATTTAGCTAATTTCCCTGATTCATCACTCCGAGCTGTTAAAATCATGGACAGCAGCAGCGAGCGTCTCAATAGAATCTACAAGCAAGAATTAGACATTTTGATTCAAATCAAACACGACAACATAATTAAACTTCTTGATCATTGTGAAAATGATGAATCTGGAAACATGCTCGTGTTCGAGTATGTCTCAAATGGTACTCTACAGGACAAACTCCACGAAAACAGAGATATGACAATTCTTCCATGGAGAAACCGAATGGCAGTAGCATTTCAACTTGCTCAAGCTATTGAGTATCTTCATGACAAATGTCCTTTACAAATTGTGCATAGCGATATCAAGTCCTCTAATATATTGCTAGACGATCAATTCAATTGCAAGCTATGTGATTTTGGGTCTGCGAAAATTGGCTTTTCTTCTTCTGTTTCACCATCAACGAAAAATCGAGTGATACTTGGTTCTCCAGGTTATACTGATCCTCACTACTTGAGGACCGGCATTGCCTCCAAGAAAAACGACATATATAGCTTTGGAGTCATTATTTTAGAACTCATTTCAGGGGTTGAGGCCTTTTCCTCAGGTAGTGGGGAGAGGTTAATATCGAAAGCTGCTCCGATTTTGAACAATGTGTCTAAGGTAGCGGAAATGATAGATCCACGCCTCGATAGGAATCACGTATTGGAGGAAGCTAAGGCCATGGTTTCACTTGCAGCATTATGCCTAAGTGATTTCCCAGGCCTCAGACCTTCTGCTTCTGAAATTTTGGAGAATATGAGAAGTAGAATATCTTCCATCTCCTTTCTGTTTTCAGTTGGTAAAAAGGTTTGAGCAGGGACGGAGCTAGGAAGGGCCAAGGGGTTCATCCAAAACCCCTTCAGTGAAAAATTATACTATTTATACATATTAAAATTACAACAGTATTTATGTGTGATACTAGTTAAAGGTTCATGTAAATTTGTATAGGGATTTGTCACAATTGAAAGTTTTGTCATAGCTAGGTAAAGAATTAGTTCAAGAAACTCCTTACAAATTGAGAGTTGAAATTTTGAATGATCAAAGTTGATTTGCTACTCAACTATGAAAAATAGAGCAAATTTGTCTTGACTTTAAATTTCGTCTCAAATGTGTGTTTATCGTTGTAGAACTTGTTCAGATTTGTTTCTCAAACTAAAAGACCTCCAACATAATAATATAGTTTACCTACGACCCAACAAATGGACTCTGTACGCCTAGAGGAACAACTAGCGCCAAGCATTAGCCGTTATGAAACCGTCCTACGAGTGAAGCCGGATGGTTGGGCACTGGATAAGTTATCCCCTAGTTTGGGGACTGCTAAGGTGAAAGAATTTTAGACCTTTGAATTGTACATAGTGCCCAAACGTCTGGCATCATTAGTGAGACGATTTTATAATGGCTAATGTTGGCCACTGGCTATTTCTTCGGATGTATCGAGCCTTGGTCTGATTTGATCATTGGCCTCTCAGAGTAATATCGTTATTTTTGTCTTCTCCTAGAGGAATAGCTATTACTTCCTCTATTCCATATTAACTGAATTTGTGAGATAATTTATTGAGGAAAACATTGACATAATACATAAATAATGTCCTTTAACTTAACCCTATTTCACATTTATGCCCTCCAATTTTGGGTGTGCACAAATAGACACATAAACTTATATAAAGTTGAACAAATAGATACACACATCCTATGTGACATCGTACCACTTCCTCATCCTGTAGAGGAGTGGAAGAGACTTCTTTGTGCTTCTTGTTTTGAATTTTGCTTTGACTTCTTCTCATCCGTACTTTCACGAGAAAGCAAGCTATCGACCTTATCTCCGTTAGTTTTTCAAGATCAGTGAACCCAGATGTCAACATCTCTATGGGGCCTACTCTAGTCTTTTATCTGCGGAGAGATGGTCGTTTACATGCTTACTTACTAAAGTACGGGAAAGAAACAGCTTACAAGAACAAGTAAGAGAGTTTACTTGCTTACTTTTAACAATTTGTGTCCTACGGAGATCTATGTGTATTATGTCACATAAGACTCAAGTGTCTACTTGTTCACTTTTATACAAGTTTAAGTGTTTATTTGTGCAAACTCAAAGTTGGAGGGCATGAATATGAAATGAGGTCAAGTTAAATGACACATTTATAGGTTGAAGACCAAAATGATCACATTTTGTGTATATTAAGGACTATTTCCATCAAGTTTATATATTAAGGACCAAATGGAAGCAAAGCCCATACATTAAGGATCATTTGATCATTTTCTGGATAACTTTATATAGTTTACTCTTGTGTGGTTGTGTTCTATTTTGTATGAAGCTTTTTGTACCTTCTTTTTGGTTCCAAAAAGACCAAATATCTATATTAGAAAATCTTTTAAAACTCATCTTCTCATTTAACCCTTGATAACATGCTCATGTGGATGATATGACATGTTGAAGACCACAAGTTTGTTGGATCAATTTTGTAAGTTATATATATGTTGACACCCAATTTTGGACCTCCACAATATAGATTAATCATCGAGCCTCTTCAATTTCAAACGAATTAAAATAATTAGTTTTACAAAATTTTAAGAAAAAATATATAGTTTGCAGGTTATTTTAAATAGTTTTGTCACTTTTTATAGTTTTTAGATAATTATTTCATTTCGTTAAGATTAAGAAGCTCGTTAATCTTAATTCATCGTGTTAAAATTCTAGCCGGATTCACTAGATTAACTCAATTCGGCTATATTTTGAATTCAATTGGCTATAATTGCAATCGATTGGGTCAAATGACCAATTCCAATCCAAACTCTTTCCTTATCTAACTTTAAACCCATCTAAGACTCAATAGCCCAATTCCGATTCAATACCCATTTTCCTCTATTCCCAGCCAGCCCATTTTTTGCCTTCATCAGCCCACCAAAAGACCCATTCCAATACAACAACAATCATCAACTGCGACCCCTGCGTCTTTTTCTTCTTTCACGAAACCAGACGACCCCATCTCGTCTAAACCCAGCGGAAATCGCGGAGAACCCAGAAATGTGATCATCTTCAAAACCCATAATCCTAGCAGCCTAATCGATCACCTCACGTCCCCTTCCCCTCCCCTCCTTTCGCGGAAATCGCAGGCCTGCACAACAGCCTTCCCTGTTGCTTCGAAAAGAGAAGAAAAAATTCAAATTTTTGGTTGAATTTTCCAACGGATTTCCCCCCTAAATCGCCCCAACTTCCCCTATAAATAACCCTCTACCCTCAGTGATTAGGGATATGTTAAAAAGATTGGATTTTGAGGTCATATACGAAAAATAGCTTACAAACAAGGTTTGGAGCTTGGTTTTTGAACGATAGACATCTTAAACTTAGAAGTTTATAACTAGCTTTCTGATTCTAAGTTCCGAGAAGATCGACGCTCATATTTTCTTAGCTTGTTGTTCGTATTTAGATTTCATAGTAGAAGAGTTGATGTTCTCAACTCGTTTGTCCTAGTCTCGCTGCCCACGAAAATGTGTTATTTTGGAGTTGATGTTAAGTTTTGATGATTTAACAAACTTAGAGATCTAACAAGGAATCAAATCCTTATTATTGGGACTGATGACAGTGAAATGAATGAATAAACTCAGTGTGAGGAATATTTGTGTGTAATCATCAAAAAGAGGGAAAATGTTATGTTCTTTGATGTTTTGATGATCTCCTCACAAGTGCAGGGACCTAGTCCTCTCCAGAGTATAAATACTCGTCCAGTGGTCAAAGTGTTGTACAGCTGGAAAGCTGTCTGCGTCAGAAAGTTGGTGAAGCGGCAGAGTACTCCACCAATCAGAAGCGAGGAGGTTGCTTGTACATTGGACAATAATTCTTCTTGTCTAATATATTCAACTTACAAACAACAAAAATATTCATTCATTCAAAAGGAGAGAGCCAACACGTATTCTCAAGAACTCACTAAGAGAAGTTTGCAAGGGACCTGGTCCCTGCAAGACTGCGATGTGAAAGGATGAAAAGACAGCTATCAGAAAAGCTGCCACTTCTGATATGGTAAGTGCACAACTTTTCTAAATAGCAGACTCTCAGCCAATGGGTGGTCCCAAGGAGTTTATGTTCATTTTGATATAGTCTCTTCTAAAAAAACATGAACTCAAGATTTGGCAAACTACATTTGGATTTTCTCTCAAAATTCATAAGCTTGAAAAGAAGGCCATCTTCAAGGAAGAGCATTACTCAACTCAACAAAGGGATCTGATAGAGTGAAGAAGAGTCTTTGTTGTACTTAAAGCTTTGTGTCTCATGTGCTTACATTGTAAATCTGAACCTAATCTATAAAGGATTCAGATCTTGTTTCGGTTTCTAAAAGTCTAAGTCATCTAGAGTTAGGTGATTTAGTGGGCAACATTGTTGTTACTTAGTCAAAATCTAAATCGTCTAGAGGGTTGTGGTTTAGTGGGCGGTGTGGTATCCGCTTAGAAAAACCTATATTAATCGGTGAGGGTGAGTATAGTGGGCAGTGTTGTATTTGCTCTGGCTCAGTTAAGTGATAGGAGATATTGCTTAGTGTGGAGATTAGTAGGCTAATCTCATTTTGTAAACTGGCTTTTACTTTTGCTTGGAAAAGATTAGTGGAAGCAGTTTGAAAAGTCCTATTGAGACAGGTCATGGTTTTACTCCCTTGAGCAAGGAGGTTTCCACGTAAAACAGTTGTGCAGATCTTACTTTCAGTTGTTTATTTTATGCACATTTTTTGTTACTGTTCTTGCTGAGACAAGGGACCTGGTCCCATTGAAATAAGTGGACGCATACATTCCAACAATTGGTATCAAAGCTTGGGCTCTCTATCTGGTTAACACCAAGAGAGAAGTTTCTGTGAGGAATGGCGTCACCACTGAATCAGCAAAGAACTCAGTCCTCCACAAGACCTCCTCTTTTTAAGGGTCAGTTCTATAGACACTGGAGGATTAGAATGAGAGACTATCTCATGGTTGAGGATATTGAAGTGTGGGACATGATATGTGAAGGTCCTTATGTGCCAACCATGGAGGTTAAGGTTGGAGAGAAAACAAGAGTGATTCCCAAAACCATAAAACAGTATAATCACTCTGACAAGCAACTAGTTCGGAAAAATCACAAAGCCAAAAAGCTACTTATGTGTGGCATTGGAATGGACGAATACGATCAGATCTCTTCGTGTGAATCAGCCAAAGAAATTTGGGATCTGCTGAGAAATACCTATGAGGGCACGGAAGAAACAAGGAAATCTAAGTTAGATTTCTTTACTGTTCAGTTCAAAAGTTTCACCATAAATGAAGGTAAACCTGTCCATGAAATGCACACAAGATTTTCTACCATTACAGATGAGCTCTTGCTCCTTGAAGAACCAGTCCCCTTGTGCAGACAAGTCTCCAAGATTCTGGAAATTTCTCCCAAATCTTGGACAAATGGTTTTGTGATTGGCAATAAGACAACGGAACCTGAAGAAATAACTTTGTGTGCACTGTTCGAGCATCTTCAAGCTTATGAGATGCATATAAAAGGGAAGGGTCTCATTTTCAAAGGTGAAGACATGAGGGCAGATCTGACTGGTGATGTTGATCGTTCATTTCGCGAACGAAAGTTCTTTTAGTAGTGGATGTTGTAATGACCCTCCAGGTCATTTTTGCCTTAATGCCTCCTTTTCATCGTTTAGAGAATTCCTATAGCGACCCCAAGTCACTTATGACTTGCTGGCACTGACTGTTCGGTCGCCTGGTCGTTCATTTGGATTTCGTGTAGTTTTCCATGTTTTAGAGACCTTAAGCTTGAATAGTGGACATTAGTCAAAACGTCAGGTAAACGACCTCAG